TGAGTTTTTCTCCCGGTCGGCCACTGTTCAATGAGTTTCCCTTTCCCGATCTAGGACTTGCTTGTATATTAACCATTGTTGTGGTTACTTTTGGAAAAGGTTGTTGCTCTACACCCAAAGTAATATATTTGAGCCGACCTGCCTTAATGGCCTTTTTGATCTCATTTTGAAAATTAGTGCATTGACTTGTATTGTGTGTGAAAGAGTTATGCCACTTACAATATGGTCTTCCTTTGATTTCTTCCTTAGTAGCCAACCTTTGACCTTTAGGAATTCGAATCTGGCCGTCAGCTAGCAAAATATCAAAAATTTCATCAGCCTTTGAATTATCAAATGTAGGTTGCTCTATTCCTTCTGTTCCTGGTACTGGCTTTAATATAGAGCACACATAAGGCTTTCTTGAAATGATTTCGGCCACCATTTCTTCTATCTGGTCAAAATCAAAGTCGTATGCTTCTGTTTCCATACTCGCCATATGCTGAACTTTATTACGCCTGAAATTCTGATCATTTTCTCTGAAAAGAGACTCCAAACGTCCAGCCTTGGAAGCGAGACTTGCCAAATCTTCCACATCATGAGCAGTGAGTGCTTCTCCTAGGCGGCCATGCATATTTCTGACCACCAAATTGGTCATTTCTTTTTCATTGATTATAGTAGGACAACGTCCTTTCATCAATCGCACCCTTTCAATAAACTTTGAGGCTGACTCTTCTGGATATTGTTTCAATTCCAATAAATCGGTAAAAGAAACAGTTGGTAAGGGATTGAAGAATCTAGCATGGAACGCCTTTTCCAAACCTTCCCAAGTTTGTATTTGCCCAGGTGGCAGACTTACAAACCATGAGAAAACTGTTCTAGTAAGAGATAACCCAAATAATTGCAGTTTATAAAAAGGATTATTTCCAACTTCCCCCAATTGTACTGTAAAACGACCCACGTGCTCTATGGTGGATGATCAATCTTCCCCTGAAAAAGCATGGAAATTAGGTGGTCGATAATTCCTTGGAAGTGGATAGTCGTTAATGATCCTTTCCGGGAAAGGTCTTTGATAAGCAGGACGGTTGGCCATCTGAGGATTCAAGCCGAAATGCACCCTCAATACTTATGCAATCTCTTCAGGATCCACACGGGTGTTTTGATGATCAGGGATAAAGATAGGATCTTGAATATGTGCTTATTGCCTCTCTTCCCTGACAACGTTTGGCTGCAGATTCTCAACTCTTGGCCCCAAAGGAACATTATTAGGGAAAGTTAGAGGAGTCTTTCCCTTGTCTGTTCGGTTGAACGTTGTAGCGCTTGGCGATGTACTGTCAACATATGATGGCCCTGCGAAATTTGCTTGCATTCTTGATGGTGATATTCCTGACGGAGTCTGAGTGGGTTGAAGAGAAACCCTCGACAAAAGCTTGATCTAACATTTTCTGCATGAGATTCTGTTGTTCGTGCAACATGATGTTCTGTTGCTCGCGCAACAGATTCTGCATAGCCGAAGTTTGCTGATTGTTCAATTGTTGAACATAAGACAACCAATCGGTAGGTGGTTGGGGAATCTCCCCTGGATTTGGCATGACAGGTGGTGAAACATTTTCTCCCACCGGTGCTGATGATGATTGAGGTTGTGAGCCTGCCACACTGATTTTTCTGATGATTTGGCCGGACCTCAGTCGTATGAAATTCTCTGTTGTAGGATCAGCAATCTTGCCTTTCTCCCACTGTGGTCGCCAATTTGTTGATGTATTTTTTCAACAATAAAAAGTAAAATCTGAAAATAGGAAATTATCTTCGAATTTGATATATTCAGTGCCTGTACATAAATAAACTGGAAATTAAAAGACTGAAAATTAAAGGATGATCCCCGATTCACTGACTTTGCTGTCGTTTGAAGATGATTGAAGATTCTCTGTCAGTTGCAGATCCCAATCCTTTAATATTCTTCAGAAACGGTACTTGGAACCGTCGCCTGAACGGTTACAACGCCTTCTCTCAACCGTCTGCTAACTCCGAATCACTGACTTATGCTAACACGTTTTCTCAACTGACCAAGCTAGTACTCTCACTCGTTCTCAGCAGTATCTGACCTCTACAAAAACCGACTTGCCTATCTGACCGCAAACCAATCGACTTGCCTATCTGACCGCAAACAAACCGACTTTTCGGGCTGACCGCAAACCTTCCGACTTTTTGGACCGACCGAAGACATTCCGACTTATTGGTCCGACCGCAAACCTTCCGATATTTTGGGCCGACCGCAGACCTCCTGACTTGTTGGTCCAACCTCAGACCAGCCGACTTGTTGGTCCGACCGCATACCTTCCGACTTACGGACTATCCGACCTGCGGATCCAACCTGCGGACTATCCGTCCTACGAACCATCCGACCTACGGACCATCCGACCTGCGGACTATCCAACCCACCTATTTCCTTAGAAATACGTCCAGTTCAGCCAATTGTCATGAAATACCCCTTAAAGTGTCTAACAGACCCAATTATAGGCCCACATCTTCATCTAACTTAGGCTTTTTAACCTAATTATAAATTTCATACGTAGCAATGATATTGATTTGTAATTCAACACTGAATTACATCCTAATTATTAATTAAACAGGTAAATTAAATCATTTTAAATATTTTATTGTAATTAAGGGTTAGGATTGATTATCAGTATGTTGAATTTAATATATTTAAGCAGTTTACATGTATGTTTTTCCATTTAAAAGGGGTATTGGACTCTATTCTATTTTTGAAAATGATTGATATTAATGAGAAGTTTCTCTTACTATATTTTGTATTTTTAGATTTCTTTTTTGGAGTATAAAAACAATTTTAGATTTCTAAAATTGTTTTTAGTTTGTTTTTCTCTCTCCAATTAAGATCATTTTATTATTAAATGGGTTAAACCATTCAATTAATCTCTAACTTTCTTCACCAAATTTGGAATCCAAACCAAGAATTTGAATGAAAATATGCCTTCCCACATAAGCCATGGTGAGTTCTCAAAGGTCGAAGAACACACCATTGTAAATGTTAGTTAATACATATCCTAACTTTATATTTATACACTTTATAATTAGCAATATATATATATATAATCATAGCAGCCTCATACCATAATTTCGAAGAGAATAGTATTAGTATGGATAACCTCCTAAGAAGTCTTATGCTGCATCCAAAAATAAAATAAAAAGAAAAAGAAAAAAAAAGAGTGAAAGCAATTTTGCACTACCAAAAAAACTGTTTTCTATTACGGCCGGAAAATCGTAACAAAAAGCCATAGTTCGTGCAATTTGCGTATTTGCTACGCCTTTGTTACGACTTTTTTCCGTAATGTGTACTCGCGTAACGAATGTTTTTTGCCACGCCACTTTTCGTAACTATTACGATCGGTCAACGCTCCCTGAAGTATGGTATTTGTTACGATGTTTGTTACGAATTTTCTCTCGTAACGAAAGGTAGATCCTTCCGCGCGTGTGGCAGGACTTTTAGTCACGGTATTTGTTACGGAAGTTCCTCGCGTTACAAGTGTTTTCCATTGACCGGTTGTCAGAACTTGGTTTTTGTTACGACTATTTGTAACGGCATTGAACCCCGTAAAAAAAATATTACCTACTTATAGTCACGAAACCGTCTGTAACAACAAATATCCAAAGACCACTTTTTGTAACGATTTTCTGGCCTTTTGTTACGGAAAAATAGCGTATTGTGAAAAACAGGGGGTACGCTGCAATTGAAATTGTTCGTAACAAATGGACCTGCTGTGATGCGTATGATACGAAAATAAATTACGAATACAAAGATTGCTATAAACATCATCATCATTACGCCCCGCGCAAACATTAATTCATATTAAAATCTGAATTCCATACCTACCAACAAAGTAAAGCAACCCATAGAACAAGCCTACTAGTATCTACACATCAACAACCTGTTCCGCAAAACGTGCTTAACAGTTCAAACAGAAGTAAACAACGCAATAAGCAAATACGGTTATCCATCAATCCCATTAGGCACATTTTTCACCATACGAATTCAAACCACAAAGGTCTACGCATCAATTCCAGACATAGTTCAACAAAAACTCAACACAATCCATCCAAAGACAGGTTCGACATTCAATCCATATGACAAACGGGGCAATTAACATGGGTGTATCGGTACCAACATTTGAAGCCCGGCGCATGAGCTGCAATTGCCAACACAGAGATTACTTTAAGTCATACTTCTTATAAATTTCGGAAGGCAATACAAGAAAGGTATTAAAGTAGATCCTTACGTCGTTGTAGCTCCACTCAATAGGATCTTCGCCGACGACATCGCGAAGGGTAGTCGCCCCAGAAATGGTCGGCAAAATAAGGGGTGTGTCCGGGACTGACGCGGATGTCACGAAGACCTTGACCAAGGAAAGTGTGTCACCTACAGCATTCACAAGAGCAATTTTTGATTACATTCAAGCATATATATCAACAGACGTTCGAACTGTATATATAACATGTCATAACACAGACATTATAAGTGCAATACTTTGGAACTAGAACAAGAGGAGTACGTACATTCAGACATGTCGTACAGTACATGGTATTACATTCATGAGTTAGGTAGCGAAACACATTATACCCTAATTTCCTATGTAATTGCAGCTTGATCTTTAAACCAAACATCCTTCAATAAACATGGGTCGTCATAATAGCAGTTATTTTACCACCCCTACATTAACAGTCTACATCGCTTTGGAAATCCACGGATCGTATCATTGTATACTTCTACACTTAGTGAATCCATGCTAATACGCAATATGAGGCCTGAACAGTCACGAAAACCTACGATATCTCGCTGAGGCATATTAAAAGTTTAATTAAACATCCTCAAAGATACCGGACCAACCTGGCCCAGGGGGGCAGAGCAGAAGTCCCTCTGCAACAACTTTTTTCTCACCGGTGCGGGATAATAGAAGCACATGTGTGCCAACCTACAACAGACAGGGCATATGAGTTGGATAAGGTAGTACGCAGTCAAGAGTAGCCTAAATTAGACACTGCACTGATTTCTAAGAAACTCCAGGGCGTCACGGAATCATACCGTCATGCTTGGCTCGGACACAGGCCTGGGAATCTCAGGGACTGAATCAATACGAGATGTGCCCTATCATATAACATGCCGAGGATGGTAAATTCCTTCGCCATCCAAATCTCATGGGATACTCATACCAAACAGGTCAGGGATTATGAATACTTACTGCCTGGCCAGTAACCGCTCCGGAGTTTCTGTGCATGAATGCATACACATCAGCCTTGATGGTTTTGAACTCATCCATCATTGCCTTCAGCTCCTCCATTCCATTCTGTAGTTGTTCCCACCCATGCTGGAATGCTACACTGTCTGTTAAACCAGTTGACTCGCTGCGGGGATGAGCTGAACTTGCCGCACTGTCGACCTTTGACCGCTTCTTAATCTTTCCCCCAAGGGCCCGTCGGTACAGAGTCTCCCGAACAGAGGGAGTCCGCCCTTCAGGGGGAACCTTGTTTAGCTCATTCTGTAAATAAGTCTACAGGAAAGATTTAAGTGAGGCCGAACTTGCTCTTGTTGTTAGAGATGTAAATACTGACTGAATTGTAACTAAGTTGGGAACGAATTTATTCTACCAATATCTCCTCGGTTTCTTGGTCATCCTTTCCCTTGCCTTGTGTGCGACTGGAAATCCAAATCTCCAGATTGTCGGGGTCCTTCCCCTTTGCCTTGATCTGCAGCAATACAAGGCCTTCTGTCATCGAAAACGTAATGAAATACAGGAGAGGAAAATATGGGGATGGAGCATGACATGACTAATTACTTAATTGTAATAAAAGGTACCTCCTCTGCCAGAGTCGTGAATGACTTCCGCCCAGTACGATGTGGAAAGCTTCTTTTCGCTACGTTCGACGCATTTTTCTTGGATTGAAGCTACGTCAATCAAAGTTATTTAGTTCTCAGTCCATGCCCGTGCAGATTTAACGTATATTAATTTGGCATGTCCCTATGCGTACCTTCACCTTCTCGTCGCGCCAATACTCAACCAACTTCGGCCACTGATCGGGCACAATCCTGCTTGAGGGAACCTTCTTCAGTGCTTCTTCATCGTCCTCGATCGGATTGAAGTAAGTTGATTTGATGCTGTATTTCCAGTGCCTCCAAACTTCCCTTAGGTCAGCCAAGACCACTTTCTCCGCTGAGTCTGGTAATCCGCTGTTACTCTGGAATGCCGTTTCACACGGTTTCCACCAGGTCCGGAGAAGATGGTAGGGCCATATATAAGAATCTATATGAAATAAAAGAACTTTCAATTTAATGAAGTTTGCATCACCTGAACCTCCATCCATGCACCCTGTCTCTTCGTCTCCGGTATCTCAGCGAACGTGGGGTAATGTAGAGGAAGTCGAGCTCCGTTGCGTGCAATGACCCCAATGGCTGTCTTGTACTCGTTTACGTCGGGTCCGACGATGCTTTTACCATCCGGCGATGTGAATACAAGCATCCTGTGATCTTTTCCCCATCCACGCGGCATTCGTGCCGCCCCTCTCCCCTGCTTTTTCTTTGACGAACCAGCTGACACAAACAGGAGATTACATGTTCTAATAAGGATATTACATGCAAAATATGAAGTCACTAAATGTAATCGGTAATCTTTGAAGGCTAATTTCCAAACCGTCGTGCGATGTCATCTCGTCCAATGGTGCCATATTGCCCGCCTCTGTTCCTGTCATCAGAGTGGGGTCGGAGCCTGGCCCTTCATCCAAGAGTGGCATATCACTCTCTGCAGTCTCCATGTCCTGCGTCGGCGGAAGTGTCTCGTCATCTGCTTGTGTGGGGGGGATTGTATCATCGTCATCCTGTGTCAGTGCCGTCAGATCAAAAAGTGATGGAACATCCCTATCATCATGTTCCTGTTGGGGTTAACAGTGTCAGCCTATTGTAGTGTTATATTGAGAGTTCAAATAAGGACATGCTTTCGGCAAAGGAACCACATTACCTCCAAAGGGCCCTCTGAATCCTGAAGCACTGCCCTTCGAGTGGAAGATGTTGGCTTCATGCTTTGACCACGAGCATCGCGCTCTTTCTCCCACTCTGATGTGATGGACCGGAGTCGCTGGAGCAGTGGCGAGACCCGAGATCCCTTCCGTTTTGTCACTTTCTTTGTGGGATTGCGGATGGGCGATGGATTCCTGCTTGCGGGATGAGTTGCCTCTAGGGGGCTGTTACGTGCGGATGCCCGGGTAAAACGTCTTGCGGGAGAGACTGCCGGATCCTGTGACCCTCCAACGGCAGCACGTTGAGATTTGCCCATAACCTGCAAGACACCAGTGTTAGTTGGCAGTATGAAAACGTATATTAGGAGAAAATCAAAACACACTTATCACAACAAAGCTTATGAAGTGACATATTACGAGAAATTCACATAATAGTTACTGCAATTAATCAGGGTAAATTGCTTCAGCATACGCAAACGGGGGTAAAGAGCTTATCCGCGTTGACATATTCGGAAAAAATCATAACATCCTGCGCGCGCATAATGGATGCAAAGTGCTTCAGCAAATCAAGCGAAAACAGGGCCTATGAACGATGGCATGCATGTCCGAAAGTGGTTACCTATTACGTACTTCAATCACCGACCCCCCCTCCCCACATAGATGACCATCTGTTGAGATGTGTAATTTATTCTGAACTGCGAACCATGATGTATATGTTCATTTTCGTCATCCCTATGAGGTTCATTTCCACTGGGCCCCGGATCGGTGTGCTCTGTATATGCACACTCTCGCAATAGAAGTTCTAGTTTCTCCTCCCAACGCATTGGCATATTGTCGTTTGCAACAGCAGGGTTCACCTCTCCTTCTCCGTGGCAAGTCCAAACCTTGTAGGTTTGGTCGAATCCATAACGAATACAATGGAGCAAGACATCTCTACGAGATTTTGTTAAGCGATTTCCGCAAGATGTACAGGGGCAATAGATGCAAGATTCAGAGCTACGATCTTTAAATGCGAAATCTAAGAAAGCCCTGACCCCATCCAAATATTGAGCCGAGATATGGTTCGCATCGTCTATCCAACTCCTATCCATCTAAAAAGGCAATATACATGTGATTCCATCAACAAAACATGCATTCAAAATTGTAATGTTTAAGTCTTGATACGGGCTTGCTCCCTCAATTTAAAAGAACAAAGTTATAGCATCAGCTTTAATAAACTGCATTTTTGTACCTATAAGTCCATGTATTGCACTTATAAGTAAAACATAACATTCATCACAACATTAAGGCCCATGGTTTAAAATCAGCCATTATCTCCACTTTAGAACCTTTTATGGATGCCATTTAATGAGAATTAAATGATGTCTACGCTCCGCCAAAAATTCTGAGCGTCATCTCTAGATACTAGAGCAGCAAGAATTATCCATACCCTACTTGGGTCAAGAAAAATTTCCTACTATTCTAAATTTTTCCTTGCCCTTTTGTACGAATATGAAAAAAATCCTCAAATCTGATGTCTAAAGAGTAAAGCAGGTTTGTGGGAATGCACATAACACTTAACTACACCACCACTCGAGAAAACATAGAACACTTAGAAGCTTTGCACTGTGGAAATGCATTAAAAAGAAATCCGACCTTCCGTTAAACTCAATGTTGCTTATCCTGAATTCACACTGCACACTTTTGTCTCCACAATTTAGTATCCTGTAAAAAAACACAAGTTAAATATGCACTCATTTTCAGTTAAAATAGCCCAAATGGTGTTGCTTCCGACAAATCGACGCATACAACCAAGTAACAAAAAAAATGGTATTGGTTCCGACAAAGGAGCCAATACTTAGAGTGTAGATATGATATCATATTCATATTATGCAGCATATGTATGTATCATTATCTAACAATATATGCGTCTGAATCTGTATATATTATGCTGTAGAATCCAATGAAACTTATTTAAATATCCACACATAATAACAAAATTCAAAGTTGTTTTGGAAAGAAGCACTCTATATTGGATAGTGTTGCTAGATCATTTTTGTACTTCATTGCAATTATTGCAGAATGAAAAGATAAAATGAGTGAAAGTCTTGGGAGGGTACACCAATAAATAAATAAAGTTCAAAAAACCATCAAATCATAAAGTGTATTTATTAACTTTGCTTGTGTGTGCACTTTGGTTTTTTTAAAAAAAATAAAAAAATCTTGTTGCATCATATAATCTATACTAAAATAATCTTCTTCCCTCTATTTAATTATCAGATCCGACACCTATTTTCTATTCAAAACATAATATCCAAAAACCCTTTTTCCATCCGAAAAATTTCAAATCCAAAAAATCCACAACACAAGCACTCTTTCCCAGATATTATGACTGAAATGCAATACAATTACACAAACAGAGAAGCTGTCATATCTTCATGAAAATTGAAACAGAACCATACACCATTGGAATTTCACATATATTTATCATAATGTAGGATGCCCAAATTCCTAAACCAAACAGCACAAAACATCACACTTAACTTAATCGATAAATTCACTTGGCACAATTGTATACAGTAACAATGTAAAAAATTCAAAAGTGCTGCACTTTGCTGGCTAAATAAATTTTCAGTATCTGTGTTACAAACACATCACCAACATGGTGGATCACGCAATACCAGAGTTTGCTTCTAACAAAACATCAGACTTCCAAATATATGACTCAATGTGTAAAAATATACAAAAGCATATTTTAAATCTAACAGAAGGAGCTTCAAAATAAAACCTAGAGGACAATCTACAATGTAAAATACTACAAATCTTTCAAACTTATCGGCCATTGGTTGTTGTGGCTGAACAACCAACCCTAACAACAAGCAATGAACAAATGGGAATGGAAACGCAAAATAGAATAAACAAAATTCACCGACGAGGGCATGGCGAGGAAGGAAAGCAGGACAAGAAGAAATAAGAGAAGGGAGAAGCTAGAAAAACCACCTACCTGATGGATCGATGCCGGAGACGTGTTCCAAAATCCCTCACTTCAACGGGACGCTGCGGCGGGGAGAATTCGACCAGCGACCAAGGTAGATGAGACTGCAAACGGAAGAAACATAAATTAAAAATCGATATGAGAAAAATGTTTTCACATTATCGATTTTTAACCTACAGGGGCGCCGGCGGCTGAGCAAGTTAGAAGAAGAAAAAAGAAGAGGACGAAGAAAGGATAACTTCGCGTTGGAGAAGAAAGGGGGAGGGCAGCGGGTGTGGGTAGGGTTTATGATTTAGTTATAAGTGATGGGAAAAAATGAATGATAATATTATTTTATTTTTACATATTTATATTTATTTTTTTAAAAAAATAATTTAAAATTATATTTAAAATAATGGTATAATATGATATAAATAGATATTGAGTCAATGACGTGATATTTTAACTATAAAATTAATTTTTAGTATATTATTAAAGTAAAAAATATTTATCTGATTTGATATTTTTAGCAAAAAAAAAATATGAATAATAATTTGAAATTTGAAATTTTTTTATAAAAGAACACAATAAATAAAAGAACAAAAAAATAAATTTTCTAAATTTAAATATATCATTTTCTTCAATAAAATATTATTTAAATATCATCTCTTTCAAATTATCACATCAATATATCATTTTTTTCAATAAAATAATAATTTCATCCTACATAATCATTACAAAATTCAAACTCTCAAACAAATTCAACTTAAAAATCCATACTTCAAAATTCTCCAAAATCCAAATCCAAAATCCAATCATCCAACCAAACACACCCTTTGTAAATTTTATAAATATAATTAATTAATAATAAATCTTTATTTATATTTATTTTACATTCAATTTGTTAAAACTAGGAGGAGGGCGGCTGGTAGATAGTGCAATATATTTTTACTTATTTATTATATATTGTAATAAATTTTATATACAATTAATTAATAATAAAATTTTATTTATATTTATTTTACATTCAATTTGTTAAATATTATTTTCAATATTTGAAGTTTGATTATTTTTTTAATTTTTAATTTTTTATTAAAAATTATAAAAAATGCTTTTCTTTGTTACAGAATAAAGTCGTAATTATTGTATTTACGATATTTTTTTGTCATATTTTTAATTGTTACGAAACATTTATCGTAATAAATAAAAGAAGACGTTGACTAATAAAAATTCCTTTCGTCACGAAAAAATTCATAACAAAAACCATCTTTTATTATGACAATATTGTTACGAATCTTCTTTCCGTAATGAAAGCCCATTTTTTTGGTGTTTAACTATAAATTAAAGATAAATATCAAAAAAATAAATTCAACCAAAAAAACTTTCCTTCTGGACAAAGGAATACAAATTCACCTCAAATGTAACACACGATAAAGCCCAAACAAATGGAGTTAAAATGTAAGACTATATCCATACCGAGAAAGAGGCGAAGAACTTTGGAGTAATACCAAATCTTTCGGGAGAAAACTTAAAAACCTTACCTAGATGCCGGAGTAGATCCCTCGTTTCCGTTGATTTCACAATGCTCGTCGTCCTGCAGGTTCAGAGGAAGGAAACTCGATCGAGTTTTCTACAAGGGAGAAATGAGATTATGCCCTAATTTGTCGAAGATACCTTGCGTAATACAAAATCTTTTTCGAGCTACCTTCAAAACCTTACCTGGGTGAGGTGCGCCGGAGTAGATCCCAGGGACGGATCGATTTCACCTCGCGCGTCGTCGTCGGCAGCTACAGGAAATCGGATCGCGGGCGACTGTGAGAAGCGAACGAGGGAAATGAACCAGATGCCCTAATTTGTCTAAGTGTGGGATGATATAGCGTTTTTGTCCATTTTGATCGTTTCTGGAATGAAAGCGTCAATCCAGTATTTTACTTTTTTTTTTTTTTTTTTTTTAATTTAACTTTTCCAAAAAAAAAAAATTAAATACCAGTAGTTACGAACACTTTACGTAACTAATGTTATTTTGACCAAATTCTACCATCTCATTATTTGTTACGATATTTTTTGCGTAACGACAGAACCTAAAACGTTGACCGGGTTTTTTTTTTTCGTCACGGATTTTGTCGTAACTAATATATCTATTTGTTACGATTTTATTGTTACGGACTCTCAACCCGTGGTGAATAGCCCTTTTTTTGGTAGTGTTGGGATGTTGTGTTGCATGGGGGCGCGGTGCATTCCTCCCCGGCCTCAGAATTGGCATCCAGCGGCCATCTTATTCTTCTACAGCCTCGCCTCCTCCAAATATCGCATCAATAATCTTATTTTTTATTGATAATTAATTAGATAATCTAAACTATATGGCCAAGACTTATAAATTATACTTCATTCATCCCTTAGTCTATCTTCAACCCACCAATTTTATTTATATAGTTTTAACTTGCTACAGTATTTTTACTCTAACCTACAATTCTATTTTTTATTGCAAAAAGAATATTCTTCAAATATTTTATTTTATATATTATTTTAAATCACTATTCATATTTACAATTAATATAATTTTTTTTTACCTGTCGAGCCTAGTTTGCAGTGTACACTTTCGGATAGCGGCTGCAGGTTCCACGTTATAAAAAAAATTAATATAATTTTTTTTAAAAAACATTGAAAAATAATAAAATAATTAATATATAAACAATTAAGAAAAAAAAATACATACAATTCCATTGGAGTTTCTCGGTGCATTATCTTCTAAACTGATCATTTTTCCATACTACAATACAATTCATTCAAGTATAACCTCAAGTGCTATTAATATGGCATTCATCAAAGAAATATATAAAGAAAAAGAAAAAAAAGGAAAAAAAAAAAGAAAGCAAGAAAAATCATAGAAATGCAAGAAACTTGATAAAAATAAAAAGATATGAATCTTCCCTGAAAGATCTTTACTCGCTATATGTGAGGCTGTCTTTATTTTAGAATTCACTTTAAAAAAATAAATAAATTATCATGCAATCTGTTGATACAATTTTTCAACAATAAAAAGTAAATTCCGAAAATAGGAAATTATCTTCGAATTTGATATAATTAGTGTCTGAGATTAGGAATCTCTAAACACTGTAGGATACATAAATAAAATAGGAAAATAAAACTACATACTGGAAAATAAAGTGGTGATCCCCAAAAGAAATTCTCTTGAATTTGATGTCGATTGAAGATAATTTGTCAGAACAGACCTCAATCTTTAAATAACCCCTTAAAGAAATGGTTTGAAACGCCGTATGGTCGGTTACAGCAACTGCTGTCAACCTCCCACCAGGTTCTCCTGTGTTGACACGTGTGTTAACCGACTCACCAACCGCTCTCACCACTTACAACGCTCAACTGACTTGTTTAACCGCCCGACTTGCCTGACTTCGCTTCACCCAACCTTATCACATCCGACCTCCGTACCTGACCTGATCACATCTAACCTCAGTTCCCAACCTTATCATGCCCTATCTCTTTGTCTGACCTTACCACGCCCGACCTCTGAGCCCGACCTGATCACGTCCGACCTCACTGCCCGACCTTATCACGCCCGACCTCCGAGCCCGACCTACTCACGTCCGACCTCAGCGCCCGACCTTATCACGTCCGTCCTTTGTGCCTGACCTTACCGTGTCCGATCTTAACACCCGACCTGATCATGTCCAACCTCCGTGCCCGACTTAATCACGCCCGACCTTAGTGCCCGACCTTATCACGTCCGACCTCAATGCCCGACCTTACCGCATCCGATCTCAACACCCGACCTAATCACGTCCGACCTCCTTGCCCGACCTGGTCACGCCCGAACTCAGTGCCCGACCTTATTATACATGGGCTCCGCATCCGACCTTATCATACCTGAGCTCCGTGTCCGACCTTATTACACCTGGGTTCCGCACCCGACCTTATCGTACCTGAGCTCCATGTCCGACCTTATTACACCTGGGTTCCGCACCCGACCTTATCGTACCTGAGCTCCGTGTCCGACCTTATTACCCCTGGGTTCCGCACCCGACCTTATCGTACCTGAGCTCCGTGTCCGACCTTATTATCCCTGGGTTCCGCACCCGACCTTATCGTACCTGAGCTCCGTGTCCGACCTTATTACACCTGGGTTCCGCACCCGACCTTATTGTACCTAACTTCGTGTCCGACCTTATTACACCCGATCTCTGCCTTCTCCCGAGGAAGCTTTTTCCTTAACAGCGTTTATATTCGGACTTTTTGAAAGCCCATTAAACTCGAATAAACCTTAACCTAATTTGGTAGGCCCATTGTCGAAAATCCTACCCATCGTTTTTTTTGTGCTCAACAACTTGCCTCCTCCCGCCTAACTCCTAAACGTCACTCCTTGAACTGCGTGAGATGTGACGTTTAGGGGTTTGCAGAATAGTGTGATCATTACACTGCTTCCGTCAAATCAAGGGGTTTATGTAAAACCCTTCCTTCACCCTCTCAAATTCACGCATTCAAAGTTCTGAAAATTCTTCTCTGTTTCTCCATTCAACTGCCTCCTTTGAAACCTTCTTCCTCTCTGTCTTCTTCACCTCTTCGCAAATGGCTAACCAATACGTCCCCACTCTTCCTTTCGATGGGGCTGACCCATCAGTGCCTTCTGTGGCTTCGAGGGTTCTTACCCCTACCGTATGCCCTTACTGCCCCACCACCGAAAATGCTGATCGTATGAGATCCATTATCTCTCAGGTTTCTCCAATCATCGTGAACGATGTTGCGTTCAAGCCAGAACGTCTTTTGGACAGTATCAGAACTCACCTCACTAATCCAAAAGACGCCTACCATAAATGGTACGCGAAGCTTCTCCCCCACTTTGAAGAACAGTGGAAAAAACAAGGCATTGACAAGGCCATACTCATTTCAAGGCAGCCTCTTTGTCTTCACGACCAAGCGTTACTAGCGATGACGGGCTTTTGGCATTCCCAGATGGGTGTATTCTTCCTCCCTGTCGGTCCTATCGGGCCGACCCTGATGGACGTGGCCGTCATTGCGCATTTGCCAATTGTAGGCGATGACCCTGTTCTTGTTTCTTTTGAGGGTCGAGGGCCTTCACCCAACCACGCTGGTTGGGCCCTGGCCAAGCTCCTTGAGAAAGAGAGAGGCTGGACTAATTTTGTTAACAAATATTAGGGTAAGGAAGGCACCTCTGTTTCTGAACTGGAACACACAACATTCCTTATCTTCTGGCTCTGCAGGTATACTTTTTCCTTTTGAAATATCTTTCGTAATTTCGAAGTTGGATGTTTTGGTTGAATCTCTTTTCTTTTCTTTACAGATACATCATTCTTTCCCCTTCTAAACTCGTCCTCTCTACCCAAGTCGACTTGGCCATTCAATTGGCTTGCGGCCAATTTTTTTCATTGGGAACCCTTTTTTTGGCTAACGTCTTTGAGGGTTTAACCCGAGTGAGCACCGGTCTAACTGATACCAAGAAAGCGGACACAGCAGCTTCGGGACCATTCTGGTTCCTGGAATTATGGCTCTGTCTGTACTTCCCTAATGCGTTCTTTGGCCGACTTCCTATCGCCCCAAACCCCTACAGGTCCATAGGTTATGTCTTAGCCAGATTAACCCGTAATTCCTCTTATCTTTATCCATCCGACCCTTTCATCACCCAAATCCTTACTGAGGACCGTAGCAATTCCCGCTTCAATGTCTACAAAACTCTTATACAATATTCAACTGATCTTCTTTTACTTCATCCAGACACATCTCATTCCCAAACTCATCCCGATCCTCTTCCTCATCCGACCTATCCTTTCTCTTGGGACTCCACCATGTAACCCCGATCTCTATTTTCTAGTAATAGGTCGGACAAAAAAAACCACAAATTATTTTACACTTACAATTATCAGCCCCAATTTTTGGCCCGACAGTTCGGTTGCTGTCAGAGCATACCGGGACCAGTGGCCCGACCTCACTTTATATCTCAAAGCCCAGAAGGGCTGGTGATTCCCGAGCTTATCCCGACCTATGTTTCCCAACTCACCGACTATATCACGTCTAATTCGTACTTACCTTTCTGTTTAAAACCTTCAGCGACCGAAGCTTTTCCTGCTTGGTGGTCGGCCACCTGGTCTTTGATTGCTCCCACGAACGACCAATTAGTTGGAAAACTTGCCCCACCCCCAGTCTTGGCGCTGGGCTCTCCTCGATTGGCCACTGCCCCGAGAAGAAAAAGGCAGGCGCTTGCTGTAGGCGGATCCGGAGCAAAGAAGCAGAAGCAGAAGGCCGCCCCTGTAATTGACAGGCAGGTCATCGAGGAGTACCTGACATCTCTGCCAGTAGATACCAGCGGGATGCCTAAATCCTTGAGGAAACAATTTGGTAAGACTATTCCTTTCATATTTCATTTCCTTGAACAACTTCTATTTCAGAAGGTCCTTCGTTACCACCGACCACTGCCCCATCTATCTCTCACCCGACTGAGCATCAACCGACCATATCTCAACTGACTGCGGCGCAATCACCTATCAATCTGACTTCTTCTCAGTCAACCGCCATCACGACCACACACCAAACAACTATGGTGTCGGCCACAAACCAGCCGACTGCGGTCCCGATCACAAAGCAACTGACCGTGATCCCGACCGCAGACCAACCTACTGTGGTCCCGACCGTAAACCAACCGACCATGGTCCCGACCATAAACCAACCGACCGTGGTCCCGACTGTAAAGCAACCGACTCCAACCGACCAACGACCTGCTCAATCGGTAGATCTTCCGAAAAACCTCCCGATCGCTGGTCAACCGACCATTACACACCCAACTCCCCAGCAAGTCGAGGTAAGCAATTCCCAACATTCTTAAGAAAAGAGAATAGTTACTTCAACCATTAACTTCAATTCCTCTTTCTGTAGGTAC